TTCTGAGTGTTGAAATTATAAATGGAAAAGCACCCACATAAATGTCCCCGGTGGTGGACACTGCGTCCCATGCCAGCCTCTGACAATGGGTGTGTCACAAACACAATCCTTGAACAGTTCTGTCGCAATCTGAAGTAAGATCTGCCACTCTATGCCTCAAATTTAGTCAGCGACTGCGATGGTATGTCAGCTATGACTTGCACTCTGAAAAAATGATATGCATTGTAAATCAGTCTGGCATTTCCTGTGTCAAACAGTTCAAGAGTCATGCTCCTCCTGGATGAGGTTGCTTGATCGCTGTTGAGACATTGTCACTCTTCACAAATACATGTCTGCTTCCAACGTGTGGTAGAACTGTCAAGAGAGCTGTTTTCAACTCAATCTGCTTTCTGAGCGATGTGTCAGAGACATTGTTCTGGTGTGCAATGTGGCCTAGGAGCCCGAGCATCTGCCAGAGCATCTGTTGATGTAGTTATGCCTGCCTCTTCTATTACATTTTCTGAAGGATGGTCATTGGAAAACAGACAGGCTAAGTGCACCTATTTTCACATTTGACTGTAATACACCTGCCCACATTGACTATGAACCCAAATGATCTCAGGAATACCATGTACTGTGTGTTTGTCTAGATTCTCTTTCAGAAGAAACCAGTTCATTATGTACAGGTATACCGAGATGTCCAGCATGTGGAGTTGAACTTACTACCACATTGCACATCCTTGTAAACACTAGCAGTGCTGGGCAGAGGCCGAACAGAAGACTCTCAAAACTGATATGCCTTCTACCACAAACCTCAACAATGGTTAGCTTGCTTGGTGCTTTGGTCCAGGTCTGGCAAAGGTCATGTTTTACGTTCTGTCTGATAGTTCATGCAATAACCACCTTGAACGACTTAAAGTTTATCAGAGGTTCAAGAATGACAAACCTAGTACTGGTCTTAGCTTGCGTGAATTGTAGGAATGATGTCACTGCCTGCATCACCTTTTCTTCCACATGGTTCCTTGTCAACATCCCATAGGGGGGGGGATCGATGTCAGGGGTGGCGGTGAGCACAAGGTTGTACATTCCTCCAATGCAGTGTATTGTTTGTTAAGGCAACATTGATTTCTCTTGGTGTCCCCTCTCAAACAATAGATGAAGGAGGATGTAGCAGTGTATGTGACTGACTAACTGACTGACTGGTTACCACTCCAGTACAAATTTGAACAACCTGGCTTGAAAAAACATGGGATCATGAGTAGGACCAACTACTGTAAATGCATTAATTATTCACTTGGTTCTACTTTTACTATTTTTGCTAATAATTAAAATTTGCTAAATTAAATCTGTGTGAATATGTAAAATAATAAAATTGCCTCTTTGACAAATTCACAAAATTAAAACACAGAGGGGGTATCGATGTCAGGGTGGTG